CTGGGGTGGCCACCTTTGGCTTATTAGTTGTCGCCAACCGCCCGGACTGAGACAGTCTGACATTCTAACTCGGCTTCTTTGATCATTGAGCGTCAAGTCAAAGACCCTACAATTGAGCCCCAGACATTTGTCCGGTCGGTTGAGATTGGAAAAATAACCTGTAGCGGAAGGGCCTTCAGCGACCAAGTTACAGGATATGTTTGTTCCATTTCGCCTTGGAGCTCAAGGTACAGCCCTCACAAGTAGTACCATAGTGACGACTTATCACACAGGCAAGGGCTGCAGACAGTGAGTCATTTTGTCATTATTAACCATAATTCCCGACCTCCAGAGACTCAGTCTAGAGTCTCAAGGTACAACGGGACAAGCATGTCCCGCACGATATAAATGAAGATTGTCTTTGCATCTTTCGGGCCTTAATTTAATGAATTCGGGATCTTTAAGTGAGTCTAAATGAATATATCTTGTCTTTGATCTTGCTCTCCATGTTACAACCTAAGTTGTCTACTGAATGTACAATTCTATGAACTCGTTGGCATCCTGATACCCCTACCGCTGAGAGTAGCGAACAGGCAATTTCCAGGAAGCAGTTCAGAAGAAGAGGATGCGATCGCTGAAAAAAAATTATTGGCATTACGTACCTCTATCACCCTGATCTGTGATTTTCTCTGATGATAGGTTCGAGCGAGAATTCGGAACGTTTAGCCAATAAACTTCTTGTTTCAGTGATCGTATTTTCTCCTCCTAGACTTGTCTATTGTTTATCTTGACAATTAGCACCACCGACTGGTAAGGGGAACACTAACGGGCTCCCGGACGTCAAGTGTTCTTATTGAATTAGTTTTTGGTCGGCTAGTGAAGGTGCCTTTCAGCGATTTGAGCTCAGACTGTAGTTTCGCTACCTCGACGACAAAAGTACGAGGTCGGACACCATCAGTGTTTCTATCTGCTGAAATTACCCCCAACTACAAAAATGACCGCCCTGTTTCGGGATTGAGAACCAGAGACCAGAAAGCAAGGAGGAGATGCGATCGCTGAAACCAGAATTTAATTTATCCCACGTTTCGGCTTCACGCTCGAAAAGATAGACCTTGCAAACAAGTGGGCGGCACGCTATTTATAGGCTACACTTTCTACGCGATGGGCTCATCTACTTCTAGAATCATGATCCAGGCGCTGGAATCCTTGGTATTCGAACATCGCTGACCAACATTCTCGGCTTGGTACGTGGATCAAGCCTTCATCGTAATCAAACGAGGTCTGGTACTGGCAATAGGATGGCATCTTAATGCTGTCTTCCCGGACTTACAGTTTACGACGAAAAAAGAAAAGCACAACCAGATTGTCCTTCTTTATGTTTTTGTCTGTGGGAAGACTGTGATAGGCTGCAAATGTACTTCTTTACTGCCGTCTGGCTCGAAAAACAAGGTTTCTGAATGGCAGGGCCTTCGAAGAATGCTCAGAGCGAATAACTGCCGGAAAAAGACAAGATGAGCAAATCAACCGCTTCGGATCTAATTATAATGACCACCACCCATAGGCTGTGGGAAAAGGAGCGCACCCCTTCCCGGTAGGACAGATGATCTTGCGCAAAATTTCAGAAACGGTGAATATTCCTGTCACGAAGTGAAGCAAATGTTCGCATCCCAGGAACGTTTGTAGCTAGAGAAGGATAAGGGTTGGGCCCGGCCTCTTATAACTTTTGCTTGTCTTTCGTTGACGCCTTTTATCGCTGACAATGGACTCCAGAAGGAACCTGAAAGCTCAGACGAATAAAAATATGATTCCGATGGTCGAAACTGTGATAGCCCAGTTATTTATGCGTCGCCACTTGTTATAGCCCAGTATCTCGCACCCGAATAATAAGCAGAAGAAGCCAAGAGAGCGGTTCTGATAGGCAATGGCTTTATTCAACGGTACACAAAGACTGTGGGGCGTGCGCGGTCTGCAGGGGCTGCTGTGTCCTTCAACTTGTCCACTCCGGCATATTTATATGGTTCCGGTCTTTCCAGAATATTCCTGACGTATCTTGTGCGCATAGACATTCTACACTCATCTCGACTACGACGACTGCCTCCGATACGTGGGTGGTCGTCTGGTTTGCTCGGCTCACGGCGTGAGCATGGGCGGCTGGTATGAGGGCGTGACATAGTCCGGACCGCTGGACTGTGGGTGTGACTCAGTTGGCCTGCCCTTCTCGCCGACTGCCGTGAACGCATGGGGAGCCCCGCCTTCGTAACAGAAACGCCTTCTCCTTCTCTATCTAAATATTCCTATGTTCTAACCCAAATCTTAATCAAGCATACCTCCCATGGAATTGAGTCCAAAGTGACCTGTGCCTTTGTCCGACCACGGGGTTCTATGCGTAATGCCTATAGCTTTCGTGCATCAAAAACGTCTCTGTGGCCGTCTTGCGCCACTTGGAGTTTGGATTTCATACGCAACGTATTTAACCACCAGGGACCAAGAGATGAGGCCTAAAGGCCCGCCGCCAGGACAACAAACGTCTAGAGTCGTTTACTGGGTCTAGTGTAAATGAAGGCAAAACAGTTGTCGGACAAACAGGTAGG